TTCCCCAGACTGAACAGTCCCATGTCCCTTAGTCTTTCCTCATAAGGTTTGTCCTTCAGGCCTTTAATTTTTCTTGTGGCCCTTCTCTGGACCCTTTCAAGATTTTCCACATTTTTTTTTAAGTGCAGCACCCAGAACTGGATACAGTACTCCAGCTGGGGTCTTACCAGTGTGGAGTAGGGAGGAAGATCACTTCCTTAGTCCTGCTCACAATGCGTTGGCTAATGCATTCCAGTATACTATTAGCTCTGTTGACTACAGCATCACACTGGTGGCTCATGTTCATCCTGTGTAAAAATCCCCATAAGCACTTTATATCATTGCATTTCCTTTCCTTTCCTGGAGGTATTTTGGGAATCTTAGAGAGAGTAACAGATAGCAGGGATCTGAAAAATAGCAAGGAAATCTAGGAAACTAACCTATTACCTCATCTGGCCCTTATTCCTTTTCTGTACCTAGAAGTACCGGTACATAAGCCTAGTGTCGGATGGTTTGGAACCTTGCTTCTGCTTGTGGGAATAAACATGTAATCCAGCAGTGCTTCAGGGGGAGAGGTACCCTGAAAGCTCCTATTATCCTGTAGTAGCCAAACCATCTGCTGGACCAGTGTGCATTTTATGGTCAAATTCAGCAACAAAATAGCGACATTTGACTAGCTTTTGCCTTTGGTAGCTGCTGTCACTCCACTATCAACAAGAATTAGTGCAGTGGGCTTCTGACAGTGAAAGAGAAGAGCTTGGACAAGTTCAAAGAGCACCAACATTAGCAAAAAAAGAGAGTCAGATAATAGTATTCTGACTTAAAGACAGTATGAGGGTTCAAAGGTTGCACAATTCCAGCCATTGCATTTAGCTAATCACAGCTTGGATCAAGAACAAGGTTCTCAGAACATTATCTCTGTCCATGCTTCCAAAGATGATTATAATATTTCTCCTACCTTTTATTGATAATTTTATTATCTCTTTGCTCCAGACCTATTTTTCATCCAAACTAAGATCTTGGGCAATCTCTCTGACATGTTCTTACAGATGTCTATCTACTAGCTCAAGCTCAGCACGGTTAAGACAAAGCTCTCCTACCTCAATCGCTGGGTACAACACTATCATAATACCTTTTACTATGGCCTGCAACCTGGACACTGGCTTTGACTTGGACTTCTTTCTAGGTCCTCACAACCAAGTGAAGTCTAAATCTGCATAATATCTCTCAGGCAAACAATACATGTTTTATTATGGGCAAATATAAGGCCACAGAACTAGGAACAAAGAATGGAGTTCATACTTACAGAATGGACGACTATTCTGCAAAAGTGAATTTGAATAGCACTGGGGGGGTCTTGGTGCATAAGCAAATTAATATACACACCTAGTGAAATGCTGTGATTAAAAAGTCTAAAAAGATCTTCAGATATACAGATAGGAAAATACACCATAAGAGTAGAAAGCTTACTAACTTGGTATTTGACACTACAGTCAGGGTTGCTGACTGTGGAAACTATTGAGGTATTTCCCTCCTCTCCATTACTGGGAAGATCCTTGCTCAAATTCTGCTGAATTGACTGTTCCCTCTTGCCGAGGAAATCCTTTCCAAGTCTCAGTGTGTCTTCATGCCATCAAGAGGCACCCTGGACATGATTTCTGTTGTCTGGAAGATCCAGGAAAAATGCTAAAACCACCACCACCATGCTTTAGGGTTGTTAGTTGTAGCCATGTTGATCTAAGCACATTGGCAGACAAGGTTCTTTGGGTAGATGTGATATCTTTTATTAGACCAACTAAATAGCAGTCAGGTGGTGGCCCTAGATTTTAGGAGGGCGAACTTCAACGAGCTAAGGAGGATAGTTGGAGAAGCGCTGAAGACTCAGACGGGAGGGGAGCCGGATGTCCAAGGGGAGTGGTCGCTCCTTAAGGAGACGATCCTCCAAGCCCAGAGGAAGGTAATCCCCAGGAGGTCAAAGGGGGCAGGAGAGCATATAAGCCTCCATGGCTCACTAAAAACATCTGGGAATGTCTCCTTGCCAAAAAGGAGGCTTACTTCCAATGGAAAGGAGGGGTCATCACTAAGGAGGACTATTCAGCAGTTGCTCAGGGATGTAGGGGGATGGTTAGGAAGGCCAAGGCAGAGATGGAACAGGGGCTGGCTTCCCGGATTAAGGACAACAAGAAGTCCTTTTTTAAGTACATAGGGAGAAGAAAGAAGGCCCCAGGAAATGTGGGGCCCTTGCAGGACAAGACGGGGAATCTGGTTGTCACGCCAGACGACAAAGCCAACATATTTAATAACTTCTTTGCCTCTGTCTTCCTCAGTAAGGACCAGAACTGCCACCTCCCTGCTGGGCCCCCTTTGGG